AAGAAGAAAAGTTCTAATCCTCTAAATTCTGCAAATTTATTTATAGACAGTATCAAACATGGAATAGTTTAAAAATAAATGCGGAAAAAAAAATAAAAAATAATAATCCAATGGCCGTGACATTCGACTACGGGGGTATTTACAGTCGCTCCACGAGGGCAGCCCGTCGCCAACACACAGCGTCGGGGGGGGGGCAAAAAACCCACCTTCTCCCGGCCCCAAAAGACGGTATTTTTGTAAAAGAGGAGAATTGAAGTTGCCAAGACGGGTTGGAAGTGAGAGAGACTCACAAGCTCGACGCCGAAAGCAGCCGGGGACCACGTGTGCCCCACGGAGCAGAGGAGCTGGAAGCAGTTGCTGAGAGAAGTGGGAGCTCAGCCCCTCAGCTGTGACACACCACTGGCCAAAAACGGGGTGATTTCACTAAAAACCCCCAATAAAGCAGCACCCTCCGAGCTGACTAATGAGAAATGAATGCGCTGGGGAAGGGGCAGGGCCAAGGGGGTGACTCAGCTCTGCCCATCCCTTCCCGTTTCTTACAGAAAGGGGTTTGTCACCCCACGTCCCCCCAGAGCCACCAAGGAACAAAAGGCACCAAAGAAGCCACCGGAGGCGGGGGACGGTCCTGCTCCCCCCACCAGCCCCTTGTCACACGCAGAGATGACACTTATGGGAGTATTTGACCCATTCAACCATCCAACATCCTGTCTCACTAATAAAATCACTGCCCGTCGTTAACAGCGACATCCCAGGGAGGACAAGGCCACGAGTCACCACGGAGCCACCAGGGGCAAGTCATTGCTGGAGCTGGCAGCGAGGAGGCAAAGTGAAATATTACCTCGAGCCAAATTAAAGTCTGCTCCCTTCAGGCAGGCGGGGAAATTAAAAGCAGTTTTAGCCCCTAAAAGCACAAATTCCCACCTTTGTCCCTGCAGCTGGAGGGGACAGCGGCGAGGAGTGACCTACAGGGGAAAAACTCACTGGCCCTGCCTCACCTGGATGATTCATCCAGCCATCACCCCTATTAAAAAAAGATAAATCCCGATTTGAAATAGGGTCAAGTTTTAAAAGTGCTGCCCTTTGATCCCGCCAGCTCGATACTCCCTTTCGGGTTGACATCAGCAACACCTGGAGCTCGGCCCCAAAGGTTAAAGCCACCCAAGATTCCCCGGAAAGTGTTAACGCTGCCAATCAGGCTGCTTTTAAAAATTCCTAGAAGAACACAATTCTAAACATCACACACGTAGGGAGCCTTAGTTCTTCATATTTGAGGATATTTCGCCTTTAAAACCAGAATCTCAGCACCAAAGAGAATGTGAAAGCCGGTATTTCGTTCCCTTGTTGCAGTCACAAAGATGTTCTTCCCTGCAGGCCGGGTTCAGCCTCTTTAATACCTACGAGCTGGCTTTTTTTTTTTCCCCAGCAGTTAAAAAAAGACAAGGTTCTGGGAGTCCTGTCTCCTCCCTGACGTTAAACTCTGAAGATGACACACATCTTTTCTATAAAATAGGAGCCAGCTGCCGGCGCACGCGTTCGGGGACGGGCTCCACAAGCTGATACTGGACTCAACCATCAGAGCCAAAAGTGAGCTGCCATCACCAATCCACCCCAAAAACCTGCTGACTCTGCTTTTTTTTGGTGAGCACTAGCCCCAAACATCCCAGATGAGGTGCTGGATGAGACCCCAGGGCTGCGCTCTCCGCTGTCAGGGCAGAGGAAGCTGATGGTGCCATCAGGACGGCATGAAGGTCCATCTGGGCTTGCCCGAAGCCGGGATGAAATCCCCCCTCCTGGCCACAGCACCCACTTTTTTTTAAAGAAAAGGGTTTTCCCCAATCTTCTGTTCCACATCTAAAACTCTCAGATAAAACCCAAAACAAGAGAAACCAACTGGAAGTCCCCTCTGGTCACGGTCAGCGTCACACAACTCCTCTGCTGCCAGCCTGACGTCATTAATTCAGGAAAATAAATTGGTTTTCCTGTCATAGATATGCAGGTCTTTTCACAAATCTTTAAAAAACAAAGCTAGAGATAAACAAACAAGTCGGGAACCAGGAAACGGTAACAGAGCCGGGAATGCAGTGTTAGAAAACAGCCAAGACTAAAGGAGCTCACCCAAAAACAAAGCTTGGAAGTCACTGCTGTTACAAATACAGAGAGGGAAAATATTAATGTCCAGTATGTTCAAAATTCACCTCACAGGAAATGCATACAAACACTGACAACTGAACAGCTGCATAAGGCACGCACTGGAGAGGGCAGGAAACCCCTTTTCCAGTTGATCCCACTCCAAAACCAACTTCACAGCTCTCCCACCTGGAGCATTGGGACAACCCCAACCAACCGCGCGCTCCTGGGGCCCACCAGCAGCTCCTGGAGCCCACCAGCAGCTCCTGGAGCTCACCAGCAGCTCCCGGGGCCCACCAGCAGCTCCCGGGGCCCACCAGCAGCTCCCGGGGCCCACCAGCAGCTCCCTGGAGCCCACCAGCAGCTCCCTGGAGCCCACCAGCAGCTCCCGGGGCCCACCAGCCTCTTGGCACATCTACCAGAATGACAGAAAACAGCTGGACCTCACCAGCAGCTCCCGGGGCCCACCAGCCTCTTGGCACATCTACCAGAATGACAGAAAACAGCACCAGGGTTAACCCTGTCCCCCAAATCCATCACAACCCAGCTCAGCAACCAGCTCCCAAGTCACTGGGACGTGTATCCCAGTCCCCCAAACCAGTATTGGTGCTGGTGCTTCATGTCTTGCCAAGGCTAAGCAAACAAGTCCTTTTTTTTTTAAAAAAAAAAAAAAAAAAAAATCACATTTAACAGATCTAAATGATTCTAAAAGCCTGTTCTCTTGCAGTGAAATGCATCTAAAAGGCTTCTTCCCACCTTAAATATTCCTGTGGGGAAGAGTTTCCAGCTGGGACAGCCCTGCTCCAAGTTGAGCTGCAGCCTTGGGCAGATGGGAGCCCAGCAGCTCTTCCCTCTTCTCCTGCTCCCTGTTCCTCATGGAATGTCGTTTCAGGGCTTGTCAAAGACTTTTCCAGGTGCTTGCAAAGCCCCTCAGCTTTGCTCAGTCCTCCCCAGCTCCGTAGAAACCGGCCAGATTTGGTGTTTCCCAGTAGGAAGGAGGCCGGGAGGGAGGTGGCCTCCAGCCTCCTGCTCGATGCCGAGGGCAGATTTGGAAAAAATTCCCCAAGGACAACCCCAGGAAACACCTTGAGAGAGGAACACACCAACAGACCCTGACTGACCACGCTGACACAACCCAGGGACACAGCAAACTCCAGGAGCTGACATCACCACCAAGGATTCCCCCAAACTTTGCTGCTCAGTCACCTCTAAATTCACAGAAAACGTTAAAGCCTGCCTTTTCTTCCAACATTTTCCCATCTCTATCTATCACACCAGTAATTTTTGTTCCTACTTCTCCCCTAAAAAAAATAATAATAGAGGAAGTGATCACATGCCATGGAGAATTAACCTAAATAAAAGCGTAGTTTCCCTGTGCATCAGTCACTAGTGTATTTTTATGTTATTTTTCTGTTAGAAAAAGGCAGTGCCCAAGGTGTTAAAGTTCTGAATTCTGCAGCACACACCGAATTGCTGACACGGGACAGACCCAGGCCAACAGGAACCCACTGGAAGGGGCTGCTCTGAGATGGACCCATCATCCCCCAGTATCAAGAACCACATTTCTGCTGCTTTGAGCTTTCGAGGAGAGATGAACTATTCAACTGAAAAGAACAAAATTCCCATCTCTGCACAAGTATCTCAAGTTTTCATTAAAAAAAAACAAACCCCAAACCTTTAGTAGACATCAGTAGCAGAAACAATAAAAACACCACTATGCAGACAGATACAAAAAAAAACCCCAGCCCTGAGGGTCACTAAGTCTCAGTCACTTTGCACAGAGGGAGTTGGAGGAGCTGGGGGTTGTACAAACAGTGTAGTCGGCAAAAATCCACCAGGCTTTGGGGGGGTTTTCAACATTTTTGTTGTTGTTTTTCAATGTGCTAAGGCACCAGGAAGTCACAGTTAGGCAAGGAGGATGTTCCACGCGACGTTCAAACCCCAAAACACTTACCAGGGATTAAAAGAGAGGCGAGGAGAGGGATCACAGTGCGACAGCCTGAGGAGCAGCACGGGAAGGGAGCTGGAGAAGGAAGGAAGGAAGGAGGGATGGAAGAGGAAGGAAGGAGGAAAGCTCTTCTGATGGGATGGGGGAAGGCTCACTGTGGGTTTTCACAATCCATACCGCTCGGACACAACCACCAACACCAAAAATCTAACAGGTTTGACACTTAAACAAAATCAAAGTTCAACGACTTGTTTCTCCGTCGCTTCAGAGCTACTTTAAAAAAAAAAAAGGCAACTTTCTTTTACCTCCTAAAAACCATCCGAAATGTTCCAAAGGCTCCCGTTCTGATGGGATGGGGGAAGGCTCACTGTGGGTTTTCACAATCCATACCGCTCGGACACAACCACCAACACCAAAAATCTAACAGGTTTGACACTTAAACAAAATCAAAGTTCAACGACTTGTTTCTCCGTCGCTTCAGAGCTACTTTAAAAAAAAAAAAGGCAACTTTCTTTTACCTCCTAAAAACCATCCGAAATGTTCCAAAGGCTCCCGTAAAACCAACAAGATCATTTTTAAAGACACGGAGGGCACAAAGACGGGGGGTTTACAACAGGAAGGGACTGCCAACTGTCTTTAATAGTACATCACTCCGTCTCGCGGAGAAGCCAGCAAAGCTCACACCTTGCCGTACCCAGCGAGAAATTATACAGCATTTTACAACTTGAAAGCACTGTACAAACACCACCGCACAGCTGCGGCTCCCCTACACACACACACATTGGTCACACTTTACCACCAGCTGCACGTCCGTTTGCTCTTTTTTTTTGGTACCTCCCAGCTCTTCAAAGGATTCTTCAGCTTCGGCTTCAGCTGATCCCCGCGAGGCCGGAGGCGGAAGCGGCATCTTCGAGTCCTGCACTTTGCACAAAAAGCACTTTTGGAGGGAGAGCGGTGACTCCGGGAGGAGGAACCCTCTGGTGAATCACACACGAAGCCAAGTCTGTTTTATCTTCACCAACACAGTTGGCATTTTCAATGACATCCCAGGAATTCGGAGGTTACTGCCGTAGCAAAAAAGGTAACGTGGTTTGTTGTTTGTTTGGTTTTTGTTTGGTTTTTTTTGAGGCAGATACAAAGTTCTAAACTACCGGGTGTTAAGTTAAATTCACTCACTGCATCAGAAACTCGGTGCCTAAAGGACATTTAGAAACGCAAGGTGAGCTGTGCCCTGCTCTTCCTCGGCTTCTGCCTCGCAATGTAAGGTCGTCAGCACTAATTTTCTCTCCCTTCCTGCCCCCCTTCGCCCCCAAACCTGGCTGTGGGGCCAGGTGGGACGGGGACACCACGGAGAAGGGGACAGAGGGGACCCTCAAAGCTGGCGGCCGCTGCAGCCGCGTGGAACGAGGCTGAGCCGGGATCTCCGGAAAAACGTTCGTGCCATTTCTTGAGTTGGTGTTTAGGATTTGTCAACGAGGGAAAAAAAAACCACAGCTATAAAATGCAACAATTTAAACTAACACAGTGTGAAGTCAGTTTCTCACGTTAAAAGCAGACAAGACATCATTACTAAGCTACACCTTCCCTGTCCCCCTTCACGCGACGACGCTCGTTTCTTTTCAGTCTCTGAACCTCTAAATCCACCTCGACGACTTGACGGGGCTCTGGGTTTGGCTCTTGCCGAAGAGTCAGCGAAGGGTTACAGGCAACAGGCACTGAACTGGCACAGTCCAAAAGGGATCGGTCTTCATCGGAGACCGCGGAAGCTCACATTTTGATCAACTCCGAGTCCTGGACTCCATTCCAGACAGGCCAACAGGGCAGGAAAATACAACGTACCATTACTGGGAGCTGGCAAGGTGAGAGAGAGAAGTAGATCTAGTCACCGAGGAGCTCCCGGACTCATCCGGCCACACGCTGCCCGTAGGGTGTCCACCCAACTCCATCCATCGGCCGTTGCATCAAGACCCATCAAATACTCAGAACGGGGTAAGAGCATCCTCTTCTTCCAAGGGAGAAGTCGCACAGATCAGTCCGTTCAAGACCAAGAGAGAGGGTTTGAATTTAAGAGCAACAAAAGCAACACCACCTTTCACTTGGAATTCTCCGTGGCCACTGAAGATTGGGACAACCCTTCACTGCCAAAGGAGGGGTGGGTGGCCCTCACAGAACCAACCAAAAGAGCACAACTGATCTATCGAGTTGACAACACGGTTGCGAAGATCAACGTGACCCTAAACGACACCCATGATTTATTATTCCTCTTTTTTTTTGTTGGTTTTTTTGTTTTGTTTTGTTTTTAGTGCAGTGCCAGTTTCAGAAGATTTGAGAAGAAAAAAAAAACAAATAGTGAGGCCCCACACTTATGGCTGGATTGGGCATATCCAAAGAAGAGTTAACGACTTGGAATAAGTCAACGGGCAGATGAACGGGAAAGATTCTGTCACCGAAGGGTTTGTAATTACCCTTGTAATTACCCTTGTCTCCTACCCAGGTGCCCATCACTAGACCTGGCTCATCAGGTAACAGATTCCACAAAAACCTCTGAAAGTGACAGTGTATATTTTTAGAAAGGAGGAACTAAAGTTATACTACAGCCTTTACCGAGTTGTTCCACCAACGCTCCGTAAGTTTTACGGCATAAATAAAAAATGGAGACGGGGGGGGAAAAAAAAAATTAATAAAATAAATACATTGGCTCCTATGAAGTCAGAAGTGGTTTGGGCTGCATAGTGGAGGGGGGAGAGATGGGGGCAAGGGGGCAAAATTTACACACTTTGAGACAAAAAACAGGAAGCGCCTGCAAAGTAGGAGAGGAGAAAGCCAAGAGTTTAAGTGTCCTCGTTCATGTCCTGGCTGTCTGTCCGAGCGATTTTCCGTGGCGGCGCCGAATTCTCACCTTCAATTTCCACCTGCTCTTGATCTCTCTTCTTCGCCGCATTCTGTCGGGACAGAGAAAGCCCCAGTGAAACCTCCAAAGCCCTGGATTCTGGGGGGTGTTGGTAAAACAAGTTTTTGGATGGAATACAGTGATGCAATGACCTAACTGAGACACTGGAACAAACTCTGAAGAGGATTTTGCCCAAAGCCAGAAGGTGCTCCTTTTAGATTGTTCCTCAAATTTGAGGGTGGGACTAAAAGACCAATCCTTGATCTCAGCACCTTTTATTTATAGATCTCAAATATCGCATAAACACCAGCAAGATCCTCTTTCCCACCGCTCTGAGTCAGTCCCTAAACTTATCTAAATCTCCCAAAGCCTTCCGTCACACACAAATACTTTCTTTTCAGCTTTAAGGTTCCTTATAATTTTGCCTCTTCCCATGTTCTTCCACCACCTCTGCTCTGCCCACAACTACTCACTGCTTCCACACCTCCCCCCCTAAACCCTCACCGTGTCCTGAGCGCTCCCAGTCCCTCATCTCAAACACTAGCTAAAAAAATACTAATTTGTGTGTTCCTCATAAGAGAGCTCAGATATTTTGTACCCGAGGTAGTTACACGGCCTCATTAGAGCATTCCCACTCTGCCCAAGCTCAGGCAGTTTCTCCCAACAGCCCCAGGGGGGGAAGAGCAGCTTTTCCAGCTGTAACGGGGGCGCCGAGGCCCAGGGAGACCAATTTGCCACGGCCACAAAGGAAAACTGTGGCAAAGTGGGAGATGTAACTGCAGCCTCCCAAGTTCTAGGCTAAACACTGAGTTAATGTCCCTTAAATTGAAAGGAAAAAGTTGGGTTTGTTGGATTTTATTATTTTTTTTTTTAAAGAAGTGTTGTGCAGAGACAGAGCCTCCTTACACTGTCTTTTGCTGAAGTGCAGATGGCACTTCCTTTTAATTAACCTTCCATATTTCAGGTGGGATCAATATTCAGCTCAATCAGCCCGAGTCAGCAAACCAAGACAAAAAACCAGTAATATTAAGAAAACACAACCATACCTTTTTGTCCCACTGCTGATGTAAATAACGCAAAAGTATATTTGTTTTTTCTGTTACTATGACTGTAAAAAAGAAAAAAAGAGAAAAACACACCCAGGTCATTTTAAAGATGACTTTTAAAACAGTGCAGTAATCATCATGTTACTTCCCATAATAACTATGGTCCTTCTTAATAAAAAAGACAGTGTGTAGGATGACTTAATAAGGAGAGAGGAAAAGCAAAAAACCACAATAAAAGTAGATATACACTGCTAATCATTGTGCTGACAGTTCAATAACATCACCCCATCCGGAGTTTAAAAGTAAGGGAGTTTATGTATATGCCAGATTTTTAATATTAGAAAAGAATAACGTTATTAAACCCCTCAAACTTTAGCAGGGTGGACTTACTTTGTTCAGATGGATATTCTCTCGTGGGAAGATATACTGATGGTCTTCTATTCTGCAGAAGAATCGCAACAGTTAAAGAACAAAGGGAGCAAAAAGCTGATTTTTGAACCCAACCACAGTTAAACCAACCAAAGGGCCCTCATTTACGCTGGCTACAAATGCGATATTCCGCCCTGTTACGTGACGCTGGGCGGCTACAGCTTTTTAAAACCCACAGATGAAGAAGAAGGTCCATTTTTCGTGCATTTTCCAGGGCATAAGACCGCTATTAAAGAACTTATATATATGAAGAAAGCACCACAGATGTGGTTTGGCTGATGTGATGCCATGTTCCTCACCAAAGCAAGCCGGAAGCTTTCCTTGCCACATCTCAACCCGTGAACTATCAGCTGGGATTGTACGTGTTTTTTAAGAAACAAAACACTCATTTCAAGTTTCTTTCACTCTGGCATCTTTTGAGCCCCCCACGAAAACCATCCCCCAGAAGCAGCAATACTTACTGATGCTTTACATACAGAATCCGCATGGAATCTGCTGAAGTTGCTTTTGTTGTAGACGGGTAATCCCTTCAAAAAATCTGCCTAAAAAAAAAAAAAAAAAAAAAAAAAAAAAAAAGACAGGGAATCAAACCAAAGGAATAGGTGAGGAATGCAGAGTGATATCCGAAGTGATATCCGGGTGGTTTGTTTGCTCCGTGCTGAGTCTCAAAGGATTTGCTCAGGGTCATTAAGATAAACAACCGCAGGAATTGGAGGATGCTGCCAGGTCCCAGCCAGAGAGACAGTTGTTGGATACCGAAACCCGCCCAAAATTGGTTTTGTCAAGCAAGCCAACCCCCCCCCAGCTTCTGCATTTGGCTCCTTATATCCCCAAAGTTCAGTAATTCGGTTAGAAAGCTGCTAATTAAGCCTGGTTTGGCACATGGGTGATTATGGGTGAGCTCTGACAGAAGGGGATTCACACCACAGACACAAAGGCCACTGATGAGGGGACCAGAATTCCAGCAGAAACCACAACATCCCAGGAGAAGCTCTGCCACCGCTTCGCCCACGTCTCAAGTCCTTGAATATTACACCAGATCAAACCAGTCGCTCTTTTCGCCTTCCCAGTTGACATTCTCTGTCACAGACCAAGGCTGGTCCCACAGAGCAATAAACGCCTCCCTGGCCTCAAATCCCAACCCTTATCGCGCCCTTATCAGTCTGGCCCAACTTTATTTTTTATGTTTTTTTTCAAGGATCACATCCCTACACGCGTCAAGGCTACTGGTACATCAAAATAAAACCAAAAAAACCCAAGTTTGGCTGGAGGCAGTTGGATCGCTCACCACAAAACTGTGGATCACGCAGGCCAGCAAAGCTCTTCGCTAAATAATGTTGGTAAAGTCAAGAGAAAATGGGTAATAAATTGCCCCCAGTGTGCCCAGGTGGCCAAGAAGGCCAACAGCATCCTGGCCTGTGTCAGGAACAGCGTGGGGAGTAGGACTCAGGAGGTGATCATCCCCCTGGACTGGGCACTGGTGAGGGCCCACCTCAAGGGCTGTGTCCAGTTTTGGGCCCCTTCCCACAAAAAAAGGGTTCTTGCTCTCCACAACTCCCTGAAAGGAGGGTGTAGCCAGGGGGGTTGGTCTCTTCTCCCAAGGAACAGGCCATGGGACAAGAGGAAACGGCCTCAAATTGCCCCAGGGGAGGTTCAGATGGGATATTAGGAAGGATTTTTCCACGGAAAGGGTTATTAAGCCTTGGAATGGGCTGCCCAGGGAAGGGTTGAGGCACCATCCCTGGAGGGATTTAAGAGACAGGTTGACATAGTGCTCAGAGACATGGGTTAGTGATGGTTTTATCAGAGTTAGGTTGATGGTTGGGCTCCACGATCTCAAAGATCTCTTCCAACCCAGACAATTCTATGAATAAACGTAGGATGTACCTGGGCAATAAGAATAAGAGAGGCCTCGAGACATCCCTTCTAAATCATCATCACCCGTATCATAACGATATTTACGAGAGAGGCCTCTAAATCATCATCACCCGTATCATAACGATATTTACCTAATGACTCAAAGCCTCTTACACTGAACACTAAAGGATTCTACTCCGGGACAGACATCACCCCATTTATAAGCAATTTTAAAAGGGCAGTAAAGCAGCAAACGACAAGTCATTTAATTCCAGCCCCGTGTAAACGGCCACTGCTGCTACACAACTGCCAGGCTGGAAGACATTGTTTTCATTTCAATAGAAGCCATTATTTTTATTAAGGCTGCATCTTTAATTCAAAACAAAGGGCTATAATTAGCCAAACCAGAAAATATTATTCATACTTTTGTTCTTAAAAAGAACTCTAGTGACATTCTAGTTGACACATCCAACCCTTCCCACACGCCTGGCTGGAGAAATCGACTTGTTCAAACACCGGACTTGGGTTCAAACAGGGAATTGCAGATTTTTCTTGCCTCTTTTAACCCCCACGGGACAGACACAATTTCCCTGGGCCTTCCCTGCCTTCAGTTGTGAGTTCTGTGGGACAGAGCCCATGGCTCCCCTGGAGCTCAGGAATTACAGCGGGATCTTCCTGCTCTGCTCTAGAAGAATCCCTGGGTTTGGGACCACGTCACACTCCCTGCTCCCCACTCCTGCCCCGACAGATTTCTCTGCTCATCCCTTCTCCTCAACAACCACACTCATCATCAATTAGCAAATGCATATGGTACCCAAGGACTTCCAGGCTGAAAAGGATGGAGAACCCTTTAACGACTCCTGAAGGCACAGCCAGACAGGCTTAGTGTCTTCACAGAGCCCAAGTTTTAAGAATTACTAATTACATTGCTCTGTTTAGGACTGAGGAGCTTGAAAAACATCCCGTTACATTTCAAAGCAGCACGTCTTCCCATTGCATTTAATTTCCAGGCTTTTTTATGAGAAAGTAACCTGCTCTGCTCCACCAGCCTAATCCAGCGAGAGACAGACACGGCCTGGATTTCTTTTATTGCAGTAAAAGCCTGACAACTGCTTGGCTCTAATACCGCTTATCGGCATGGAAAATAACTGCTCTAAATAAGAGCAGGCAACTCCAAGCACCTCTTCAACAAGCTACAGCTCACCCCAAGTTCCTCAAGGGATACTGGTCCCCACTTCCCAGCCGGGGATTTGGGCTGGCAGAGCCCATATTTCCCTAGAAAGAGGTTGGGTGAGTGGGATCAAGCTCTTGCTGGGGATTCCACAGTCTTTTAACGTGCTTTTACAGCGCAGTGAGTTACGTCCAGCAAGCTGCAAAAATACTGTCACGGTTATCGGTCAAAATGCAACTTAAATGGTGAAATTGGGGTTTTTTTTTCACCCCCTCTCTATCATATAACCAACTAAAGCTGGGTATATACCAGTGAAGTGCAGACTCACACACAGGGAGGGCTCCAACACTCTGACAACACCCAGAGACCTCAGTTTTAACATCCGCGAGCATCCCCAACTCTTGGCCACCACCTTTTCCTTCCCTCAGGCCAGCAGTGGCTTGGGTGGACCAGCTCCAGCCCTACCAGCAGCATCCCCTGCCTGGCTACAACTTCAGAGCAAAAAAAGGACACTAAAACAAGGGGAAACGGACCTTTTTCCAAGCCAGGCTCCAGCCAGCACGTTGGGAACTCCCCACCAGCTCCGCTGAAGAGTCTGGTTGTCACTGACACAGACTGTCCCTCCCCTAACGATAATTCCACTGCGCACACATCCTCTATCTGCCCATTCGATCTCAGAGATCACTGAAAAAGGCCCCCTCGAGGGAACTGCCCAGAGTCCTATTCCTGGATAATTCAGAATTAGACAATACTCCCAAGTGCAGTGATCCTTATCAGCTCCAAGGGCAGCGGATAAATAAGCCCCCGGGAGGTCAGTGCTGTGTTTACACACCTATGGCACGAGGCACACCGAGTCACACCTCCTGCCTAATGTCACAGGAGGAAATGTTCCCCCCCCCGCCTGCCTCCTGCCACTCTTTAACCAAGGAAAGCACACCCCGGCCAAGCCGCTGAAGCTGATGGAGCTTCCAGGGGGGAAGCAGAAAAAAAAAGGCCCCCCCCGAAGCCAGCTGATGCCTCGTTTCCTTTGGGGAAAGGCAAACTCAAAAAAAAACCAACCCAAAAATCAACAAAACAAGCCCAATTATGCAACCTCAGAAGACAACACGGGTTCCTTCTATGATTTGGGAAGTGAGATAGAGACACGACGCATCTACTGTTCCTGTGTCAACAAGAGCACTCAGCTTCCTAGGAAGACAGCAGTTCTCATCTAAGAGCAGAAAGGTGAAAAAAAAGAAATAATCCATATACACGTGCCCCATTCTCAGCTTTTTAAAAGGAATTGCAGTAACAACGCTCGGAAAGACGAGGCCCAGCACAGAGATGCTGAAATCAGGGCTCTGTCCCAGCACGACGCAGGCAAAGGTGGACATGGGTTAGAGGAAAATCATCAACACAGCCTTGGGGACCACAGGGACATCAGTTTGTCCCCTTAGTTATTGAGATTACAGGGGGGCAGAAGGAAAACTCTCTTTCTCCAAAAATTATTACAAAGGGAAGGAGGAAGGGAGGAAGGGAGGAAGGGAGGAAGGGAGGAAGGGAGGAAGGGAGGAAGGGAGGAAGGGAGGAAGGGAGGAAGGGAGGAAGGGAGGAAGGGAGGAAGGGAGGAAGGGAGGAAGGGAGCTCTTGGCTGTGACAGCCACCACCACTCAGGGACCAGACCAAGCCCCTGTTGCTGCTTTGGGGGCACAGAAAGGATCAAACAACCCTCCCACCCCCCAGCCATGGGGCCAAGGAGCACCCCACACCTCGGAGGTGCCCCAATTTCCCCTTTCTGCCCC